CGCTCTTTGTGCACTTTGCTGCCAGTGCCAAATTTCTGTCTGCCTCACAAAGACTTTTTTTTTCAGGTTGCTCATGCTTCTGGTTGTTTATTAAGATGACACAAATCCATTTTTAGAAGTCATATTGGTAGTTTTATTATTGCCATTATTTTGAAAGTCATACTAGCTATGCAACATAATTCAGTACATAAAGCTAAGAAATATAAACTAAAACTCCGGTTCCGTATCACTTACTCTCTGGCAACTCCCAACAAATGAGACAGAGAAAAGGAAAACACTTTACTACATGCTGGCTTAAATTAAAGTAAGGTAGTTAAACTTGTATAGAATTCCAGAGCTTCTGATCTAGGAAAATACGAATTAAGTATAGGTGACCCCTTTAAAAAGGATCTAATTATTGTGAGAGAAGTTACATGTATCAAACTAACGACAACTTAGTATATAAGCCAACTGGAAAATTTACACAAACCTGTAGCTCCGCTTCCTGAATATCTGAAAACTGCTCACATTTTAGGATATAAAATTAGCTGGATCAAATCTCATTCAATTGATTTTCCAAAAGACCACACTCCATCTAGTACCAACAGATTTCTATCCCAAAAGAGAAAAAGTATTCAGAGTTAAAAGTGTAATTAATAGAATAACATCTCAGTAAATACTAGAATGATATTTGAAAATACTAAACAAGTCACTTTTCTTATGAAGTTATTGCAACTATGGTCCCAGCTTTATAGACACATTTGTCAGGGGGCAAAGAAATATCTTGGCCTTTAACAGGTGCATTTCTCACTATCAAGCAAAGGGGAGAGGGGAAAAAAGTCCAAACAGACCCTCATAAAAAGGTCTATGGTCCTACCTTGGTTTAAAAGGTACTGCTAAACAACAAAGCCAGACTACAATTCTGCAGTGTGCTCTGTAAGATGGACTTGCACACTGCACACAAGTCACCGTGCACATAAAGCTACCTACGTTTAAGTTTTTGGGGTTTCAGATTTTATTTCTTTTTATAGGGATCTTCAGACTACCTACATAACTACTACATACTACCTACATATACTACACATGCTTTAGCTGATACAGTAACAAGTTACTTACAGAAAAATTCAGCTTATAGGAACATGTTCCTATAAACCTGCTAACTGATTCCAAGTTCATCAAGGACATATAAATACATAGGCGATTAACTTCTTAAACATATACTTAAATGTTTTCCTTAACTTTAGCACGTACATTGCCTTAACACAACTGCTAAGACACAGGGTGTGCACTACCAGACATTCCTTTCTAGCTTGTTCATTTAAAATTACAGAATCAGATTGGCAGTCAAAGTGCCAGAGTTAGTCAAGCTCAGTTTTCACTGGCACATTAACCTACTTCTTTTACTGCTACAAAATTGCACTATACAGAACTTTTATATTTTGAAATGGACATTTAGAAAATGTCACAGTCAGCATCATGTAATTTTTTCACCTCAAGTGATAGTCAAAAAGGAAAAACGAATCCTATGAACTTCCTCTCAAATTAAAAATCTACTGAAATCTCACGTACTGACTGCCAGCCTGCATCTGCTGATTTATAATGCTTTCCAACAGAAAGAGCATCACAAAAAATCTCCTTTAAAATGGCTGTCATCTTCTTTTGTTCTAACAGCCTGAGGCCCTTACTGTCCTCCATCAAGATACACTTCATTTGTTCATACTGAAGTGAAGCTGATCTCAGAAAAGACAGTGGCTTCTATCACCTAGCATTTTTTTTTCCTCTTTGATAAGCTACTTAATTCAACTCTGTCCTACTGTGACCAGCAGGAAAAATACGAAAACAAATCCTCATCCCCTTTTGCTTAATTAGTTTAATTTAGGACTGCAAATGTTATTAGCACAGTAGTATGCTTATAACCTTTCACCACCCTAAAGCACAAGTAAATTTATTTGCATACATCCACTGTGCATTTGCATACCTTCAGGTTCCTTCTAAAAATAACTTACCCACGAATTGGCAACATATAACTCCCTCTTGGGAAACTACCGCCTTCCTGGAATACCTCTTTCACTATTCAGAAATATCCCTTATACAATATGTTACCTGGTCTCATCTCTCTAGCAGTAGGTATACATCAATGATGCCAAAACGTTTTTTTGCACCGAAGTCCTACAGCAGGAGCTTCCATCCACCCAACCTACTAAGCTCTGCCTCTTAAAAGTAATTGTATCAATCAGAGAATGATTATTAAGCTGATACAGTTGATAAATCTAAGCCTGAACTGCATGTCTTTATTCTTGTCTGTAATATTATAATAAGGAAATGGAACCCACAAACAGAACGATATTCATCATTTTTTATTATTAATTTGATTTTCCTTTAGGAAATAATATCACTCATTCAGTAAGACAACAGCAGGCAAATGCAGCTGCAAAAGTAAAGTCTTAGCTCTTAACAGTCACTGACACATTCAGTCAAAGAATTATTTTAATTCAAATAAAGGCATATTTCTGAAGATGGATTTAACTTAATGGCTTGAATAAATGTTTGTACCTAAGTAAACTATGACTAACGACACTTTCATGAATGCGATGAAAGCTTTGTATTAAAATGTACAAGCACTATAAAGTTACAATTGTGAGCTATTAAGAAATGGCTGCAATTTTAAAAGTTATATGAAATATAGTAACTCACATTATATATATAAAAAAAAGTAAATGCACTGATCATATCCTAAACTCCAGTATTAATGCTAGTGACACCTTTCAAAATATGTAACTGTATCCTTCATTTTGGACACTGAGGCTTTTGACTAGACATCTCTGCACGTAAAAAGAGAAGACAGTCATTCTCAACAGAGCAGCTCCACCTTCCAGAGTTTAAACGGCAGTTTTCATTTCAAGTTTATGACTCTAATAATCAAGATGTCCTAAAATTAACAACCTTCAAGACAATAGTATAACCTTCTGAAGGTCTACTTGAAAGATAAAAACTCCTTTATGGGTATAAGGCCTAATACTAGTATCAGTAATAAAAATGTTTCACAAAATAAAAGGCTTTTTATTCACTTCTAAAGCACTCACTCTGGCTTCTCAGCATCATTTTTATCAAACAATTACTTCATGCACTTAGACATGCACAATAGTTGTGCTATTACACCTACTAACCACGCTCCTTTGCTTTGCAACTCATTCAAGATCGAGGCACAGATCAGTTATTTAGGTGGCCTTGATGATTTTAATTAGATACCAAAATACCTTTCAGGATCTGAGTTTTAGCATTTCCTTTCAAAATATTTAAGCTTGAAACAACTTTTCAAAGACATATTTACCAAGCACCAAGTCATTCTCTTAAAATAACCTGAAAACTCATCTGTTTTACAAGTCTGTACACAACACCCACCATCCCTGTGCAATATGCAATAAATACTGATTGTCTACTATATGCGCATAAATCTTATTTTACTACACCTGTACAATTAAGCCTGCTGTATAGGTTGATACTACATATACATACCCAACACTAAAATGAATATAACAGCATAGCAATATAAACACAAAGAATACCATAAACATCACTACAGTAAGTACTCTGGTGAAATACAGACTGCAATGCAAAAAGCTCCCGGTTCATTGAGGTCTTTGTTCTACACCGAACTATCCTGCTCCTGCTCTGTTAAACTCTGTGGATAATTTTGCATAACAATGTCTTCATACCAGGAAGAAACCTGACTAACACCAAAGCCAACTTACTTACTTTACTTCCTACTGCAAGGCAGAGCTTGAGAAGAGCAGGTTGCTGTTTGAAGACTCTTAAAATTCCTTTATTATAATAAGTATAACACAAAGGACTAAAAGAACTGAATTCCATGGTTTATTTCTCTATTAAAGCTCTTACAAACCACAGATCTTCACGATGCCAAAGAAGTTCTTCCCCTTACTCCCATATATTTAAAAGTTAGTAGAACAAGCAATACAACAGTAAAAAGCATTGCTTACAAGAGATACTGAAGAAACTGGAGGGGTTTTGCCCGGGGAAAAGGTAACTGAGGGAAGATACATCAATAGCCTTCTAATACATAACAGAAAAACAATGATCTGGGGGTTGGACTAGATGATCTCCAGAAGTCCCTTCCAATCCTAACCATTCTGTGATTCTGTGAACATTCACACCTGTTAAGGACAAGACAAATGACATCACCTACTAAACCAAAGACAACTCAGGTTGGACTGTAGTTCTAAAATGACCATCAGGTTCCCCACAATCTCCTTCCAGAGTGTTCCAGTTCTTGCAGAAGTCACAGGAGCTGCAGCCCTGCCTCTTGAGCAGCATCAGCACCAGCCAGCTTGGCTCCAGCTGATGCTTCTTTCTTCCCAACCCAACTGAAATTCTAGATTAGGCATTAAGAAAACTTTCCAACAGCAAGGGCAGTTATTATTCTCCTCACAGAATGTGTGATCTCCACTATTAATTTTCTGACACTATGTTTGGCAGAGAGCTATTTGATCTTCCTCATAGTATGAAGGGACAAGAGGACCTGTCAAAGTCCATCCCCGATCCATTTTTGTTTAATTTACTTGCAAGCACGAGTAATGCCCTCAGTTGACTACTGACTATAAGCCATACGCATCTTGATCAGATGTCTTTGTCTCATTTTTAAAAGGCCTTCCAAATTCACTGGGGACTTAACGCAAACAGGAGACCAGTCAGCGGCATCTGTTGCTCAAGACTGCTGCTTTCAACATCAAGGAGAACTTTTTTTTGGCACGTACCGCTTCATGCCTACGCTATAATAACCAAAACCAGAGGATGGGCACGGCCAGGCCCGAATCCCGCGGGGCCGGACACAGCCTCCCGA